GTAAGTTGTTTTTCTTTTGTCAATCTTCTGCAGGCTTCCAAAGTACTTTTGAAACGAAAATTTTGGAAACGATCTTTATTAGGACATATTACTCCATTATAAGTTGGAATAACGCAAAGTATTAGAAAATTAGGAAATCACATCTTCGAGCGAAAACAAAACGCGTATATGTATTTACAGTTACAACAACAACATGACCACTTTGCATGTTTCGACCACTAAGACCCATGTTAGTCTATCAGTAATGAGTTAAATCGGGATCTAAAGAGATTTTAAAATACGACTACAGAACAAGTTATAGATAAATTCCCTTCTCTGAAATACCTCAAAACTTTATACAATTAAATCGCTCTACATTACACCCTCCCTAAGAACCATTTTAGTCGATTAGAATAGAGGTAAATTGGGATCTCATATAGTTTTTTTTCTATGTCGCGAGAAGTATGCACCGAATCGACCTATTGATTAGATTAATACAGAAACCTGTTGCGAATATTCCAAAAAGATAATATTCATTCCCTCCTAGAAGTTGGTTACAGATCCTCTTCATATAAAGTATAAGACCGAGAACCTAAAATACGACTACAGAACAGGTTATGTGTCAATTAACTTCCCTGGATTAGCTCCAAATATTAAGAAATTAAATCACTCGGTTTGAGTACATCACTCTCTTTCTAAGACCCATTTTATCCAATCAGAATTGAGGTAAATCGGGATCTCATATATTTTTTGTATTTCGCAAAAACCTTGCACGGAATTCGACCTTTTGATTAGGTTAATACAGAAACCTGTTCCGATTATCTAAAAAGAGAGTGGTATTTCTCTCGTAGAAGTTGGTCGATAATCCTCTTCAGTATAAGAACGAGAATCTATATAAAAGCGGGATTCTAAAACACGACTCCACAGAATCAGAAGTAGTTACGTGTCAAGTGCCCACCCTTAGTTAGTTAGTTTGAAAGGAGGTGAAAGAAATACCCCTAGACCTCTATTGGGCCTGTTGTGCGCTTGTTACCTCAGATGAGAATCGAACGCACTACCTCCGGTCTACCAGACTAGAACACTAACCACTAACCTACCGGAGGCCACAATTCCCCTCCCTTATTAGAAGTTGTTTGGATGTGATTTGCATCCAATGTTTTTCCAACACTTCGACCCTCGTAGTCGTAAAGTTATTATTTTATTTCGTAAAAGTTATAACAACATTTCATTCTCATTGTAAATTTAATTCTTTAATTGCGATTTATGTGTCTTCTTAATAACATTTTAATAATGTGTGAATTGCATTTGAAACACAAAATAATATCAATTAAAAAGCTTTATTTTTGGGCCGTCTTTTTTTAAAATTTCATTTACATATTTTTAAAAAATTATTAAAAGATAATGGCAATAAAGAGAAGATCTTCAGGTCAGGACAATTAAAAGAATTAGTTCCACAACGTGTACGAATACGGCTTGAAACAATTGCGCTTTAGGATTAGTTTAATCTTGTATCAAGTACGTATTGGACTTAAATCAAGACAATAATTATTAAAACTAAAACGTGCGAAGATCACTTTGATCCCAAACAGGCTTAAATCAAACTTTGATTAATGTTCGGACTTGTATTTTGTACTTGATTCTAGTTAAACCGTTCCGTCAAGTACGGATTTTTTATTATTTTTTTTTTTTTTTGAGTAAGTTCCTTAGAATATTAAAATCAGTGATCCTGTGGGGCGTAATATCGGTAACAACAAGGTTTTGGATTACGCCGCCCAAAGCCTTTCAATGACAAAGTTTCGTCTGTCCAACTTTATATAGTTATAGACTCTACTTCCCAAAAACTTAATTTAAGTTATAGGCGTACTAAAAACACACTTTAAAATATCTTTTAGTATGCTCCAGATTGGCTTTGCTTTGACGTCTTAAAAAAACACTATTTCTTCTCTCACAAGAGATTTATGATCTCTAAAATCTGTGTTAAAAGAAAATGGTCACCAAGATAATATCCATCAAAAATAAGAGTTATACAAACTTAAATAGCAACATTATGACGTTAGCATTTATAAAAGTCCCACGATCATAAATCTATTTCAAATGATCAAGATAAAATTCTGAGTAAATAGATTTCACGTAAACTGAAATCATACATGAATATATGATTACAAAATTTCATTTATGATACAAAAATGGAATGATGAACATTTTTGATAATTCATATTATAATACGATCTAGATACATCGGCCCTTCTTTTGGCAGCATGACAGAAATTATCTTCTAATTTTCTCCGTTAGTTTGCTAGAAGTTTTAAGTTGACATTGGGTGCTAGGTTGACATACAAGTTTGACATGAGGATTGCAGAAGCTTTAAGGCAAAAAAAGAAGAATCGATATTCCACCATCTAATAGATTCCTTGGTGATTACACTACTTTCAACCTTGCTAAGTTATCTGGGTTTAGACTTAATCACCTACTGAGATACATATATGAGAGCTAAGGGTTGAATCTAATACTACTGCTAATTTATATAGTTAATTAACAATTCAATAAATAAAATTATTTATTTACTTCATTCAAACCCCCGCCATAAAGAAAAAACACTTGTAATACTTGTTGACAAATTTTAATGGTTGTAATAAAAAAAAGTATAACAAGTAAATATTTCAAATCTCAAAGTTTATAACTGTCATAAATCTTTACGATAATATAAATTTATAAAATATAAAGTCATATTTAACTAATGACCAAATAATAACATTTTGATTGTTGTTTTCTTCGTTTTTTTTTTAAAAATTGTGTTGGGAATTAAATTCGTTAAAAAAAGTTAAATTTAATACGAAATCAAAATAAAGAAAATATTTAAATGAAGTAAAAGTATAGATGTTTGTTTTTATATGACGATGACTTAATGTCTACAGAATGTATTTAGATTTTAACAGAGGTTTATAATTGCTGTGAATAATGATTTAATTTAGATTTACTGGTTACCCAGCGCCACTTAAATTATATGTTTTAGGTAAGGGGGAGAGTAAGTGTATGAAACAAATGGAGAGCAAGCGTAGCAGTTATTCACACTCTGCAGGCATGGAAAATTCGGTACTTTAGTTCTTTTTCGGTACTTTTTGATATCGTAAATGTCCCGAGACATTTGCAATACCTTTTCTAACATACATTTTTGATAAATAGTCTTTATAGTAGTCAATAGACCAATTAGTCTATAGTCTAATATAAAGTCTATTTTATAGTTTAGTCTATAGTCCAGTATATAGTCTAGTCTATAGTCTAGTCTATAGTCTAGTCTATAGTCTAGTCTATAGTCTAGTCTATAGTCTAGTCTATAGTCTAGTCTATAGTCTAGTCTATAGTCTAGTCTATAGTCTAGTCTATAGTCTAGTCTATAGTCTAGTCTATAGTCTAGTCTATAGTCTAGTCTATAGTCTAGTCTATAGTCTAGTCTATAGTCTAGTCTATAGTCTAGTCTATAGTCTAGTCTATAGTCTAGTCTATAGTCTAGTCTATAGTCTAGTCTATAGTCTAGTCTATAGTCTAGTCTATAGTCTAGTCTATAGTCTAGTCTATAGTCTAGTCTATAGTCTAGTCTATAGTCTAGTCTATAGTCTAGTCTATAGTCTAGTCTATAGTCTATAGTCTAGTCTATAGTCTAGTCTATAGTCTGTCTATAGTCTAGTCTATAGTCTAGTCTATAGTCTAGTCTATAGTCTAGTCTATAGTCTAGTCTATAGTCTAGTCTATAGTCTAGTCTATAGTCTAGTCTATAGTCTAGTCTATAGTCTAGTCTATAGTCTAGTCTATAGTCTAGTCTATAGTCTAGTCTATAGTCTAGTCTATAGTCTAGTCTATAGTCTAGTCTATAGTCTAGTCTATAGTCTAGTCTATAGTCTAGTCTATAGTCTAGTCTATAGTCTAGTCTATAGTCTAGTCTATAGTCTAGTCTATAGTCTAGTCTATAGTCCTAGTCTATAGTCTAGTCTATAGTCTAGTCTATAGTCTAGTCTAGTCTAGTCTATAGTCTAGTCTATAGTCTAGTCTATAGTCTAGTCTATAGTCTAGTCTATAGTCTAGTCTATAGTCTAGTCTATAGTCTAGTCTATAGTCTAGTCTATAGTCTAGTCTATAGTCTAGTCTATAGTCTAGTCTATAGTCTAGTCTATAGTCTAGTCTATAGTCTAGTCTATAGTCTAGTCTATAGTCTAGTCTATAGTCTAGTCTATAGTCTAGTCTATAGTCTAGTCTATAGTCTAGTCTATAGTCTAGTCTATAGTCTAGTCTATAGTCTAGTCTATAGTCTAGTCTATAGTCTAGTCTATAGTCTAGTCTATAGTCTAGTCTATAGTCTAGTCTATAGTCTAGTCTATAGTCTAGTCTATAGTCTAGTCTATAGTCTAGTCTATAGTCTAGTCTATAGTCTAGTCTATAGTCTAGTCTATAGTCTAGTCTATAGTCTAGTCTATAGTCTAGTCTATAGTCTAGTCTATAGTCTAGTCTATAGTCTAGTCTATAGTCTAGTCTATAGTCTAGTCTATAGTCTAGTCTATAGTCTAGTCTATAGTCTAGTCTATAGTCTAGTCTATAGTCTAGTCTATAGTCTAGTCTATAGTCTAGTCTATAGTCTAGTCTATAGTCTAGTCTATAGTCTAGTCTATAGTCTAGTCTATAGTCTAGTCTATAGTCTAGTCTATAGTCTAGTCTATAGTCTAGTCTATAGTCTAGTCTATAGTCTAGTCTATAGTCTAGTCTATAGTCTAGTCTATAGTCTAGTCTATAGTCTAGTCTATAGTCTAGTCTATAGTCTAGTCTATAGTCTAGTCTATAGTCTAGTCTATAGTCTAGTCTATAGTCTATTATAGTCTAGTCTATAGTCTAGTCTATAGTCTAGTCTATAGTCTAGTCTATAGTCTAGTCTATAGTCTAGTCTATAGTCTAGTCTATAGTCTAGTCTAGTCTACAGTCTAGTCTATAGTCTAGTCTATAGTCTAGTCTATAGTCTAGTCTATAGTCTAGTC